TAAATAATTTTGATTTAATCGATTCGTTTGCCATTGACTCATAAATTTTTGTTGTTCTAATTGTTGTTGTAATTTTTTTTCTTCTCCCATTCTTTGATTAAATTCATTTATTGCATACATTGAATTCCCATTTACTCCTCCGTGCATATGTATATGACCTGAAGGGATGGACTTTACCGACATCACTGGTGATACTAATGGTGGCGTCGTAACTGATGTATTCGGTGTCGTTGATCCACTACTGGACTGTTTTAATTTCTGTATTTGTGCTTCAAGTGCTTGAATATAATGTGCGGCTAAAAATAATAATAATAATAATAATAAATAATAATAATAATAATTAATAAATAAATAATATAATAACATTTATATTTTAATTAACTTTTAATAATATTATAATATTATCAATATTATAAAATAAATATTATATATTTATAATATTTAAGTATTATAAATATGTTTTTAATATTTTTATAATATTTTAATATCATAAATAATATATATAATTTTTTTTAGATAATCCAATTTTGTAAAACATTATTAACATTATCTGTAGAAATCTTATTGGTTGATAATCCCATGTGAATCTATCTGTACCACTTTATCACATTTCATCTGTTTACAAATTTCACGTATCTCAACTTGCACTTAAGGAATAAAAAAAAAAAAAAAAAAAAAATTTTCTTTACCTTTTCGTAATATAATAGCTTTAGAATCTGCACATCCTCGACAACTTGGTACTATACTTTTAAGTTCTTCAAATCCTGAATTTATATTTTCTCTTCGTTTTTGTTCTGATAAAATGTGCGCTATACGACGATTTGGTGGTGTATGTGATTGTTGTTGTTGAGTTTGTGGTGGTGGCGGTTTGTGAAGTGGTGTTGGTTGTGATTGAAGGTCTATTGAATTTGATATTTGTGTTGAAATTTGTGTTGAAATTTGTGTTTGAATTTGTGTTGGAATTTGCGTTGGAATTTGTGTTGATTGAATTGATGTTTGCATCATTGGCGTTTGAGTTGGTAAATTCATTGATGCAGATAACATAGGTGGTTGAGAAGCATGTGAAAGTGGTGGTGAAAGAAATGGTGGAAGATGATGGTCTTGTCCACGATGAATTTGTGGTGGTGTCATCATCTGAGGAAGACTTTGTCTTTTTTGTAAATGTGTATATGTTAACGTTTCATTGCGAGGCGATATTGGTAACGGTGATGGTGGTTTTTGTTTATTCAAAGGATTTGAATTATGACTAAATTTTATTGAATTTTAATTTCGAATTTTAATTTCGAATTTAATTTCGAGTTTGAAACGAAATAAAAAAAAAAAGGAAATAGTAAAAATGAAGTAAAAATACGAAACAAAAAAAAAAAAAAAAAGATAAAAAAATATGTTGAAAATAACGAGATAACAGATAAAAATAAAAATAAAAAAGAATAAAAAGTATTAATCATCGGATATTGATATTGCAAGAAAAACGTAAACGAACGTTAACTTTACCTGATCAAATGCGTAATATCCATATTTTTTTGTCGTATTATATTCTATTGCTATCGTCGATTCAATCTATCGATATTGTCGATGTTGTCGATGTTGTTGATATTGTCAATATTTTCGATGTTGTAGATATCAAACACTGTATCTTTGGAAATCTTTACAAAATATAAATCTTTACGAAATATAAAGTTTACGAAATATAAACGAAATATAAATCTTGTTTACAAAGTATAACAAAAGTATAAATCTTTACGAAATGTATTTTTCGAAAAAAAAGAAAAAAAAAAACTTTGAAAGAAAAAAATTTAAAAGTCCAAAGTTTGAGATTGATAAAAAAAATTGGTACGTACGTAAAAAAA